GAGACAAGACAACACTTTTTAAAAAAAACTTAAGGAATTTTTAGAATGAGAAATAATGTTTGGACATTGAATACAAAACTTTAAGCTCTAACACTTTTTATTAACAAAGTGGCCAGCTGGCCAGCGCTAGACCACAAGACGACACATATGATGCTGTAAACAGTGTCAACCAATAGGCATTACACAGAAATGTGAGATGGGTGGTAAGCAAGTGAACTCACTCTTTTCCACAAGCCCACAACAGAGTTGTACTTGTTCACTAGCTCATGCCCCACGGGCTGAAAGAGTTTGAAGATTTTTCCAGCTAGCTTTAGTTGAGTCTTCATTGACAGCAACTGTCCCAATATTAAAAGCATATACAGGATTGACAGGTGCTGGAAGCCTTTGTAGATACAGAAAGATCAAAACAATAATAATAATAATAATAATAATAATAATAAATTTTTTAATTTATATTTTAAAATTCTTAAAAATAAAAAATAATATTCAATTTATTAAATTATTTAATTAAATTTAATCATATAATATTAATTTTAAAATTAATATTTATTTTTATGTTTTTTATATAAATTTATTATAAAAAAATTTTAATAATAAAAATAAAATTCTTTCCACTGAAAACAGCGGAGGAATAAATTTACAGGGTATAAAACCCACTTCAATATTAAGACACAATGACATGGATTAACTTCTAACTTTCTAAGCACATGTCATGATCTGGGATACTCCTAAGCACTCTCCTTCCCAGTGCTTTTATATACTTTCATATCTTTCAGTACATACTACACACTTTCGAATCTATTTTTAAAATTAACTACCACAATATCTTCATTGATGCTACAGCCAAAAAGACATCCATGTACTAGGATTAAGAACAATTTCTTCTTCTTCTTACTTCTCTTGCCGTTTGTTCCCCTTGCTAGATTTGAAGACGAAACCTGCGAATATACAAATCAACTGGAACTACTGGTCGTTTGTAAAAAAAAAAAATCTGGAAACTACGTACCATTTCTTAAAAAAAAAAAAAAAACTGGGGACTACCGGTTGGAAAAAGGAAAGGAGCAAAGAAAAAATGAAAAGAGAAGGAAAGAACTAAAAGAGGAAAGTTGGAGAAAGAGATGGGAATTTGTAAGTGTCATCAGGACTCACAAAGGAGAGTGGACACTGGACAACTATGGGCGATTGTTATGGCTACGCACAAGATTGATATGGTCATATAAATTTTTTAATATTGTTTTTAAAAATAAGAATTTTGGTAGGTATAATTTTTTTTATATAGTTATTAGATTTAATTGTTAGAAACAGTTAATAATTATAAATATTAATTATTAAATAATTTAATAATTAACTGTTTAATATTATATAT